GAATGGTACCAGCTCCTCTTTGTAACTCTGGTAGGATTCTGCTGTGAATCTGTCTAGTCTTGGGCTTTTTTCAGTTGGTAGGCTATTAATTACTCCCTCAATTTTAGAACTTGTTAATGATCTATTCAGGGATTTGACTTCTTTCTGGTTTAGTCTTGGGAGGGTGTATGTGTCCAGGAATTTATCCATCTCTTCTAGATTTTCTAGTTTATTTGCATAGAGGGATTTATAGTATTCTCTGATGATAGCTTTTATTTCTGTGGGGTTAGTGGTGATCTCCCCTTTATCATTTTTATTGTGTCTATTTGACTCTTCTCTATTTTATTCTTTATTAGTCCAGCTAGTGGCCCATCTATATTGTTAGTCTTTTCAAAAAACCAGTTCCTCGATTCATTGATTTTTTGAAGGGTTTTTTGTGTCTCCATCGCCTTCAGTTCTGCTCTGATCTTAGTTATTTCTTGTCCTCTGCTAGCTTTTGAATTTGTTTGCACTTGCTTCTCCAGTTCTTTAACTTGTGATGGTAGGGTGTCAATTTTAGATCTTTCCAGCTTTCTGATGTGGGCATTTAGTGCTATAAATTTCCCTCTAGACATTGCTTTAGCTGTTTCCTAGAGCTTCTGGTACTTTGTCTCTTTGTTCTCATTGGTTTCAAAGAACTTCTTTATTTCTGCCTTAATTTTGTTATTTACTCAGTAGTCATTCCAGAGCAGGTTGTTCAATTTCCATGTAGTTGTGCAGTTTTGAGTGAGTTTCTTAATGCTAAGTTCTAATTTGATTGCACTGTGGCCTGAGAGACTGTTACGATTTCTGTTCTTTTGCATTTGCTGAGGGGTGCTTTACTTCCAAATGTGTGGTCAATTTTAGAATAAGTGCAATGTGTATTCTGTTAATGTGGGGTGGAGAGTTCTGTAGATGTGTATTAGGTCTGCTTGGTCCAGAGCTGAGTTCAAGTGCTAGATATCCTTGTGAATTTTCTGTCTCATTGATTGTCTAATATCAACAGTGGGGTGTTAAAGCCTCCCACTATTATTTTGTGAGAGTCTAAGTCTCTTTGTAGGTCTCAAAGAACTTGTTTTATGATTCTGGGTGCTCCTTTATTGGGTGCATCTATAGGCTAGTTAGCTCTTCTTGTTGCATTGATCCCTTTACCATTATATACTGCCCTTCTTTTTGTCTTTTTCAATCTTTGTTGGTTTAAAGTCTGTTTTATCAGAGACTAGGATTGCAACCCTTGCTTTATTTTATTTTATTTTATTTTTTTGCTTGGTAAATATCTTTCCATCTGTTTATTTTGAGCCTATGTGTGTCTTTGCACATGAGATGGGTCTCCTGAAAACAGCACACCAATTGGTCTTGACTCTTTATCCAATTTGCCAGTCTGTGTCTTTTAATTGGGGCATTTAGCCTGTTTACATTTAAGGTTAATATTGTTATGTGTGAATTTGATCCTGTCATCATGATGCTAGCTGGTTATTTTGTCCATTACTTGATGCAGTTTCTTCATAGTGTCAATGGCCTTTATATTTTCATGTGTTTCTGCAGTGACTGGTACCTGTTTTTCCTTTCCGTATTCAGTGCTTCTTTCAGGAACTCTGGTAAGGCAGGCCTGGTGGTGACAAAATCTCTCAGCATTTGCTTGTCTGTAAAGGATTTCACTTCTCCTCCACTTATGAAGCGTAGTTTGGCTGGATAAGAAATTTTAGGTTGAAAATTTTTTTCTTTAAGAATGTTGAATATTGACCCCAACTCTCTTCTGGCTTGCAGGGTTTCTGCAGAGAGATCTGCTGTTACTCTGATGGGCTTCCCTTTGTGGGTAACCTGACATTTCTCTCTGGCTACCCTTAACTTTTTTTTGTTTGTTTCAGCCTTCAAAAATCTGATGATTATGTGTCTTGCAGTTGTTCTTCTTAAGAAGTATCTTAGTGGTGTGTCCTGTGTTTCCTGAATTTGCATGCTGGCCTGTCTTGCTAGGTTGGGGAAGTTCTCCTGGATAATATCCTGAAGTATGTTTCCAACTTGGTTCCATTCTTTCTGTCACTTTCAGGTACACCAATCATATGTTTGGTCTTTTAACATAGTCCCATATTTCTTGGATCCCTTGTTCATTCATTTTCATTCTTTTTTCTCTAATCTTTTCTTCATGCCTTATTTCAGTAAGTTGATCTTCAATGTCTGATATCCTTTCTCCCACTTGATCAATGCTGCTACTGTTACTTGACATATGCTTGACAAAGTTCTTGTGCTGTGTTTTTCAGCTCCATCAGGTCATTTATGTTCATCTCTAAACTGGTTATTCTACTTAGCAGTTTCTGTAACATTTTACCAAGGTTCTTACCTTCCTCGCATTGGGTTAGAAATGCTTCTTTAGTTCAGAAGAGTTTGTTATTACCCACCTTCTGAAGCTTACTTTGTCAATTCATCAATCTCATTCTGTGTCCAGTTTTGTGTCCTTGCTGGAGAGGAGTTGCAATCATTTGGAGGAGAAGAGGCATTCTGGTTTTTGGAATTCTTGGCATTTTTGCACTGAATTTTCCTCATCTTCATGGATTTATCTACTTTTGATCTTTGAGGCTGATGACCTTTGGATGGGGTTTTTGTTGGGAGAGTCCTTTATGTTGACATTGATGCTGTTGTTTTCTGTTTGTTAGTTTTTCTTCTAACAGTCAGGACCCTCTGCTGCAGGTCTGCTGCAGTTTGCTGGAGGTTCACTCCAGACCCTGTTCGCCTGGGTATCACCAGCGGAGGCTGCAGAACAGCAAAGATTGCTGCCTGCTCTTTCCTCTGAAAGCTTCGTCCCAGAGGGGCCACTGCCAGAAGCCAGCCAGAGCTCTCCTGCATGAGATGTCTGTCCACCCCTGTTAGGAGGTTTCTCCCAGTTAGGAGGCATGGGGGTCAGGGACCCTCTTCAAGAGGCAGTTGTCCCTTAGCAGAGCTCGAGTGCTGTGCTGGGAGAATCTCTCTTGTCAGGATCAGCTGCTCTCTTCAGAGCTGGCAGACAGGAAGGATTAAATCCACTGAAGCTGTGCCCACAGCCACCCCTTCCCCCAGGTGCTCTGCCCATAGAGATGGATGTTTTGTCTGTAAGCCCCTGACTAGGGCTGTTACCTTTCCTTCAGCGATGCCCTGGTCAGTGAGGAGGAAATCCAGACAAGCAGTCTGGCCACAACCACTTTGCCTTGCCCAACCCAGACCTCCCAGACTCCTTGGCACTCTCAGGGGAAACTACCTACTAAAGCCTTATTAATGGCAGCTGACACTACCCCCACCAAGCTCGATCGACTTAGGTTGACTTCAGACTGCTATACTGGCAGTGAGAATTTCAAGCCAGTGGTTCTTAGCTGGCCGGACTCTGTGGGAGTGGGACCCACTGAGTGAGGCCACTTGGCTCCCTGGCTTCAGCCCCTTTCCAGAGGAGAGAATGGTTCTGTCTCGCTGGTGTTTCAAGCACCATTAAGGTGTGAAAAAATAGTCCTGCAGTTAGCTCAGTGTCTGCCCAAACAGTTGACCAGTTTTGTGCTTGAAACCCAGGGCCCTGGTGGTGTAGGCACATGAGGGAATTTCCTGATCTGCAGATTGCAAAAACTGTGGGAAAAGCACAGTAACCTGGCCATATAGCACAGTCACAGCTTCTCTTGATTCAGGGAGGGAGGTCCCCGGCTCCCTGCTTCTGCCCCACCCTGCTTCTGCTCACCGTCTGTGGGTTGGACCCACTGCCTAACCAGTCCCGATGACATGAACTGGGTACCTCAGTTGGAAATGCAGAAATCACCCTTCTCTGCATTGGTCTCACTGGGAGCTTTGGACCAGAGCTGTTCCTATTTGGCCATCTTGGCCTCTCCCACAAAATAACGTTTAAGAACATAAAAAATTTCAAAATATGATTCTATCTTATCATAATTTTAGTTTGTAGTTGGAATTTTGCAAAGTTTCTAAAAAGTTACACCACTAAATTCAGGGCACCTTTCATTTGCCTTGTCTTTTTGTCAAAGAACAGTTATAGAATTGTGTTATCTTAACTGACCTATCATTTTGAAAGCCTCATTGAAAATTAGAACAAGATATTTGAAGTACATACTTTCATCCAAGTTTTTCATTATGCATGATGCTGGGATGAGTGGTTTACAAAATAATCCTATCCTATGGATCTTATAACAAGCACTAATAAACCTGAGGTGACTCAATACTTTGCCTTTTTACTATCATATAAATATACCAGACGAAAAAGAAAATAGAATATTTACACCAAGTACATTCAGTAATATAAACATGTTTGTGGTGAAGAGTTAGGATTTACGTATTCACATTGGATTAAGATAGAAACAGAATTGGGAGGACAAGAGATAAAGAATTCAACCTACTTTGCTAACAGGGACGATTTTTGTTTCTGAGGATATTTCGGTGCTCTGAGGTAGAAAAGGAGCATGCACAGGATCTCAGACAAGTGGAATTCACATGACCTAACAGCTGGTGAGGGAAGAATCTCCAGGCCCTCCCAGGGCCCTCAGCCTGGAGTTCCTGACAGTGACTTCTGGGTTGGGGTGGAAAGGCTTCAGGACCCGCAGGGAGGGGAAGGCCAGGACGGAGTTTTGTATCCATGCATGTGGGTTATTTCTTCTCTGAAACCTGGAGACCGGAGGCTATCTGACCTACACAGCGTGAGTATTAAAAAACTTCCTGTAGCAATAAGAGCATCAAGAACATAAGATGCATTTTAGGATGAGAGCAAAAAAAACTTATTTGAGGACTCTGAACTTGTTTTTCCAAGTTTTTGAAGGTAATTGAACACGAGATGTTCAGTAATTGCTTTTGGAATTATTTTCTTGGAAATACCATGCTCAGTGTTAGCCATGCAAAAAAAACTGTCTTGGTTCTTGACTATACTTCAAATTTTAAACAGGTATCTCATTTTGTTTTAATTATTTTAAATACTATTATTTATTAGCCCTTAATCAATATATCAATCAATCAAGTCATCAGAATATTTAAGAATTCAATCTTACTTTGATCTGGACAAGTTTAATTCCATCAAATCTTATATCAGCAACAGATTTCCTTGTCTGGCCTCTTCGGTGTCCAAATTTACACTTATTTCTAATCACTTGTTCATCATCTTCTATGGGTCTTCGAACATATTTAAAACGATCTTTGAGGGCTCGTTTCCATAAAAACTGTGTAAAAATAACAAAACAGGTCAGTTAGCCTCCAAGGAGATTGAGATAATCCTATATAAACAATAAAATATTTATTTACCTATCATCTTTGGGCTTAAAATTTTCTTCACATCATAGTCATAGAAATAATATATCCTTTTTTTTTAATTCTTACAGCAGTCTTGTGACACTGCTTTTATTTATTTATTTATTTATTTATTGCATTTTAGGTTTTGGGGTACATGTGAAGAACATGCAATATTGTTGCATAGGTACACACATAGCAGTGTGATTTGCTGCCTTCCTCCCCTTCACCTATAACTGGCATTTCTCCCAATGCTGTCTCTCCCCACCTCCCCACTCCCCTGTCCCTCCCCCATTTTCTCCCAACAGACCCCAGTGTGTAGTGCTCCCCTTCCTGTGTCCATGTGTTCTCATTGTTCAACACCCGCCTATGAGTGAGAACATGTGGTGTTTGATTTTCTGCTCTCGTGTCAGTTTGCTGAGAATGATGGTTTCCAGGTTCATCCATGTCCCTACAAAGGACACGAACTCATCATTTTTGATGGCTGCATAATATTCCATGGTGTATATGTGGCACATTTTCCCTGTCCAGTCTATCATCGATGGGCATTTGGGTTGGTTCCAGGTCTTTGCTATTGTAAACAGTGCTGCAATGAACATTCATGTGCATGTGTCCTTATAGTAGAATGATTGTGACACTGCTATAGAAATTATAAACTCTAAGTTATAGGTAAGAAGACAAAGTCACAGAAATAGAAATCTTTACCCAATACCATATGGTTATTGAATAAATATATTGGTTCTTGAACTTAGACTTTCCAATTCCTAAAACTGATACTTTCCACTATATTCTACTGAATCCACAACCAATTCCATTTCTCTAGTGGGTTCTAGAAAAGACCTGATACTGGCATACAGATTGATGCATTTTATTTAAAAATAATTTTCTGTCATCTTTTGAAATTCGTTTTGGTGAGTACTATTGGCATTCACTCCCTAAGTCTATGGTGCCTCTACTGTTTCAAACACAAAGACCAAGTCCCAGGTGTGGGAGGGAGAAGGGTACAGGTGGACCTCACTTTCAGTCTAGCAGAGGGATGAATAATTTCAATATAGAGTGAAAAGTACTATAATAGGGGAAGAGACATCATTCATTTACATTGTGTTAGGAGATCATAAAAACCTTCCTGTAGGAAGTGAATGTAAACTGAGGCCTAGCTCTTAGGGCCGGGTAACTACATGAAGGGATGGAGATACGGCATTGGGGAATGCCAGTTGGGTAGATGTGCAAGTTCCAGGACGATGAAGCTGCACGTGCAATGGAATAGAGGGAGAGCTGGCACCCTCTAGAGAATTACCAAGAGTTGTGCGTGGCTGGAGCACAGAGCTCAAGATGAGGGAATGACGGAGGGTGCGGTAAAAAAATGTGGGAAAGAGGAGGCGGCCCAGTCACCAAGAACTATGGTCACCCCATTAAGGAGCCTCAGTGTAATCCTGAACCAGATCTTAAATCTGTCTCCGTGAAAAGGCCGTATTAAAATCTCATAGGAAATTTGCCCTTGGTCTTTCCTCTAAAGCAATGGTTCTAAAACCTGAGCTGAATCAATTCCTGGAGGATCCGTTAGAGCAGTTTGCTGAGCCCTACTCTCAGAGTCTCTGATTTTGAGGTCAGGGGTAGGCTGAGAATGTGCATTTCTTGCAAGTTCCCATGCAATGCTGCTGCTTGCTACTGCTCCAGACTCCACGGATCCTGGTTCAGGAGATTGGAATGGAGCCCAGATGTCTGTATTTTTTAAAGCTCTGGAGAGAATTTGTCGGAATAGCCAGGTGAGGAAGTCTTCCTAGGCCATGTTGAGGTGGGAGAGTGAATGGTCAGATTTGAGCTCTGGAAGGATCTGTTTGGCATGTGGAGATTTTGTGAGACCAGAGACATGGACAACACCTAAGCAGCAGCCCTGGATTTCTTCCTCAGTATGCCAACATCTCTTCCACTGCCGGGCCTTCAGTTTGGGCCTGGAAAGCTTTACCCCTCACTTTCCCCACCAAGCTGGTATCTAGTTAACTCTTGTTTTGCCTTCAGGTCTCAGCTCAGCCTGTGCTTCATGGAAGCCTCCTCTGGCCTCTGTAACAGCTTGGTTTTGGGTCTCCCCTTTCTTCATTGGCACTTATCAAAGTGGTAATCTTACCTCATCGATGCGAAACTTTGCTTCTATTTCCTTTTCTTTTCCTTTCTCTCCTCCCTCCCTCCTTCATCCCTCTCTCCCTTCCTCCTTTTTTCCTTCCTTCCTTTTTCCTTCATTTCTTCCTTCTTTCCTTCCTTTCCTTCTTGCCTCTATGCTATAAGCACATAAACAAAGGCTCATGCCTGCTTTGCCCACCAAGCCCAGCACAGTGCTTCATGCATGCTGGAAACAATAAATGTTTGATGCCTTGTGTCAATCCTCTATGAAGCAGGAGATGCAGGTGTCAACATGACAGACCAGAAGCAAGATTCCGAGTCCTGGCAGTGCTTAGTTGGTAGCTAACTCACTGTGTGAGTGGCGGCCCCACCCTTCTTGAAGTGGGTACCTTCGAGCTGCTTCTGCTGCCCATCTACCCTGCAGTGCCGTTTGCTTGAATAGATCCCCACAGTGAGTTCAGGGAAGGAAAAAAAAAAAAAACCCTTGCAGGCATATGAACCTGTGTTTCCCTCTGAGCCCTGGTCATAAAACAGAGTGGTAAGTCACCGAGTGGCTTTGGCCATGTTTTCTAAGCTCTGTTTCCTCATGGGCCAGTGGGAATGCCACCAAAATAACAGCCAAATGCTTGGCACTTAGATTTTGCCATTCTTGGTTACATGGTTTATAAGTTCCAATAAGAGTAATCCCTGAAAGTACCATGGCCTAAGTTGGGAAGACCCCAGGTCCAAGTACTCGCCTGAATACATATTAGCCAAGTAACCCCTCTTAGTTTTAGTTTCTTCAACTATAAAATGGAACAATAAGATCTGTCCTATCAACTGCACTGGCTTTTTGGGAGACTTTACAGTGAGTAGCTACTCATGGAAGATATTTGCCAACTAAAGTGTTGCTTGTAAAGTCCTTCGACAGCCCTAGTGAGAAAGGTATGGTTGAGGGTTGGAGGATGGCTTCAGCACTGATCAAGCTCCTGGGTACGCATGAGTCAGAGACGCCTTATCACCTCCCACGGGCTTGTGAGGGTGGACTTCGCCATTGCTGTTTAACAACAGAACTGAAAAAAAGAATGGCTTGTATTTTTTTAGGCATGAAATATGAACAAGTGCAAGTACACTTTGTGTTCTGCATGTTTCCTACAGCTCTGAAGGGTTTCTAAACGTGCTGAACCTGGTGGGAGGTATTATAGTGATCAATGGCTAGGACATTTTTAAATTGCCAATTTCTTCTTCCTACCCTCTCCTGTCTTTCCTTATTAACTGTTTGATAGGAGCAGAAAAAGGACAAATCAAATACAATCTTCTGCATAAATATTCCATCAGTGAGTATTTACTGAAAATCTGCTATACATCTGGCAGCGTGAGTTACATACACAGATACCTTAGGTAGGCAGACTCAGTGGGAAATATTTGTGTTATAGAATACTCATCCCTCTCCTTTGTATGTTTCCAGCTAGAAAGAGTGTAGAAAGATCTACATGAATACAGCTCTCCGCCAACCACTCAAATAAAAAATGGCCCTGAAATTGCAGACCTCCTTTTGTGACGTATGAAGTTCACAGCATCACCAGCAGATCTCTGCACATTCAAATGCAGAATGTGGACTGTCTTACATGGCAACTGGACTAGACTTGTCCAAAAAGCAAATATCTGAAAAAATTTAAAAGGGTATGGAGAGACTGTCTAGACAAAAAGAAATTAAAGAGGCATACTAACCAATGCAATGCGTAACTCAGATATTATAGCAAAAAACTATTTTAAAACAGCTATGAAAAAACTGAAGAAATGTGAATATGGATTGTATACGATATTATGCAATTATTGCTAATTTTCTTGGGTATAAAAATGGTATTGTGGTTACATAAGAGATTGTCCTTATTTTTATTTTATTTTATTTTATTTTATTTTTGAGACAGGGTTTTGCTCTGTCACCCAGGCTGGAGTGCTGGAGTGCAATCGTAAGTCACTGCTGCCTTGACCTCCTGGGCGCTAGTGACCCCCTGACCACCACCTCCACTTCCCAAGTAGTGGGACTACAGGCTCCTGCCACCATACCTGGCTAATTTTTGTATTTTTTTTTGTAGAGATGGATTTTACCATGTTACCCAGGTTGGTCTTGAACTCCTAGGCTCAAATGATGCGTCCACCTTGGCCTCCCAAAGTACTGAGTTTACAGGCATAGCTGTTCCTATAAGATATATGCTATGGTATTTAGGGATGACACCTGCAGCTTTCTTTTAAATGCTCAGCCAAAACAAACAAAAATACGACAGAAAAAAAATAAATGGGGTAAAATGTTAACCCCTAATCTAGGTCAGTAATTCTCAGCGAGCAAACTGATGTTGCTCCTCCCCCTCCCTTGTTTGGTTTTGTTGTTGTTGTTTTGTTTTGTTTTAAGAGAAAATTTGCTTTATTCTGTAGTGTGCTTGCTACACTGACGTTTGGGGACATGTGTGGTTGTTACAACTGGGTGGACAGAGTGCTACTCACACCTAGTGGGTGCCAGGAATGCTACTTCAATGCACTGGACAGCCCCCAGCACAAAGAATTATCCAGCCCCAAAGGTAAACAGTGCAGAGGCTGAGAAACGCCATGTTGCTAAGAGTATATGAGTATCAATGTAGCATTCCTTCAACTTTTGTTCAGATTTGAAATTCTTCTTTTCCTTCTTTCTTTCTTTCTTTTTTTTTTTTTTTTTTTTTNTCTGTGTGCCATTAATGGGATTATATATTATCTTGTTTTAAAATTTTTATTTGTTTATTTATTTTAAATTGTTTTTTGAGACACAGTTCTGCTCTTGTTGCCCAGGTTGGAGTGCAGAGTGCAATGGCGTGATCTCAGCTCACTGCAACCTCCGCCTCCCGGGTCAAGCGATTCTCCTGCCTGAGCCTCCTGAGTAGCTGGGATTACAGGCGCCTGCCACCAGGCCTGACTCATTGTTGTATTTTTACAATAAAAAAATATATTTCACCTTGTTGGCTGGCCTGGTCACAAACTCCTGGCCTCAGGTGATCCACCTACCTTGGCCTCCCAGAGTGCTGGGATTACAGGTGTGAGCCAACATGCCCAGCACAAAATTTTTCAAATAAAGAGTTAAAAATAAAATTGACCCTAAAAATAACCATGTTTGTGCACTCTCTCTCTTTCTCCACCCCCTGCCTCCCATTAAATGTTCTCTCAAATTTTGTACATTTTCCACTGTAACATTAGTAACACAACCTCACACACACCTGGAGGGAGAATTTGGGTAAACATACATCCAGGCACCACGGTTTCTCATTCTACTCTATGAGTGCAAATCTGAGCCCTAATCTGCTAAGCAATTTTGCACACATCTCTGTATCAGTTAACGGTCTTTGGTGAATGTCACTGGGAACAGATGTGGATGAAATGCGCACAAGAGCAAAGAAAGAATTATTTGCTACTTTGTATGTGTCTCACTTTGATAACCATGAAACTAAAGGTCAAAAGGTAATTGGATCAATATGGACTTGCTTAAGTATATGCAAAGATTCTCTAGAAGGACTCTGATAACATTGGTTACTTCTGGAGAGGTAAATTATGTGGCGGGAGGAGCAAGGATGGGTAGGAAACTTTTCTGTTTATACCCTTTCGTAGCTTTTAAATTTTGAGCTATGTAAATATGTAATTTATTCAAATGGTAAATGTAAATTTAAAAACACACAAGCTCTATACACAGTAACAATGATTAGATATTAACTTGGTAGATGTATCCTGAGCGTAGAAGAAATTCTGAGAACCAGTTTTGTCAGCCATACTGACATGATTGTCAATGTTGGGACCCCAGTTTGTTCAGCATTGTTGTTGTTGCTTTGTTTTTGTTTTTGTTTTGTTTTGTTTTTGGACGAAATCTGATTTCTTCTGTAGTGCGCTTTATATGCAGTGGCATATTTGGGAAAGGCTGTCATCCTAGAAGCAAGAATGCCTGAATTCTAATCTTGGCTTCAATAATTACTATTTTTCCAGACATGGTATACAACATCTTTCCTTAGTCTGAGTGGTGAAAAGAACGCTTAATGACCTCTCTCACTGAGAAAATTCTATGATTCTCTCCATATATAATGAAACTTTTCTTGAAAATACAAAAAAAAAAGAAGAAAGAATGGAAGGAAGGAAGCAAGGGCAGGAGGTGTAAATATAAAGAGGGAAGGAAGGGAGGGAGGGAGGGAGGAAGGGAGGGAGGAAACAGCCTTTAAACGTCTTTATATTCATAGATATTGGCATTTATCTTTTGTTGTTCTTCGAACTAATTGCTGAATTCCATGTCCTTAAGAAAGCATAGCAAAAAATATCTTTGCACAGACATCTGAGACAGTGAAGTACAAAAAGACATCTATCTTATTTAGATATGATTACCAATGTGCATGTACATGGCATATGGAGACAAAGGGAATAATAGACAGTCTATCTTTATATAACCATAGCTGCAGTTCCCTGTAATTCTTCCTTATCTCATATAGTTACGGTGCCATAAACACTCAATTTTTTATTACCATCTTAACTATTTTTAAGTACAGTTAAATAGTGTAAATTATATTCACACTGTTGTGCAATGAAGACACTGGTCTTTGAAACCCACAAGATAGGCAGGTTCATCAAACAGCAAACTTTGTGTCAAAACGTCAACAGCAGTGGATCTCATCTCTGGTTGTACACTAGAATAATTTTGGCAAATTAAAACAAAAATTAATGACAAGGTCCTATCTTCAAATTAATTCAGTTAGAATCTCTAGGAATCCTAATGTGCAACCAGAGCTTAGAACTGCTGCCCCAGAGAATTGCTTGAATCTGGCAGGCGGAGACTGCAGTGAGCTGAGATCACACAACTGCACTCCAGCCTCAGTGATCAAGTGAGACTCTGGCTCAAAAAAAGAACTGCTGCCCCAGAGCATCCTTTGTCAGGACAGCAGAGATGTGACAGGGCCAGGTAAGGCTGGAGGCCCAGACCTCAAAGCCAGACAACAGCTCCACTGGGTCTGAGAAGGCAAGAAACACCCGATGACGGCTCTGAAGCAGGCGCAGCCACATCCTTCCCTTTCTATGTGTCGCATCTCCTAAAGACCCTTCCTAGCCCTTAAAACCTTTAAGACTCTTAAAGTGAACAGCTCAGTTAATCTTAGCAAACTTGTATGCTTGTGCAACCATATTTACTATCCATTTTGGCCACCTTCAGCCCTGGGCAACTCCTAATCAGCTCTGTTACACTGAGTTTCTAAACAGTTTTGAGAGGACAGCAATAAGATGACAGAGAGACAAAGAAGACAAAGGAACACAGGGCAGAGAGAGAAGGAATGAAGTTATGAATGAGAAGACAAGGAGACAAAGGCAGATAGAGTGACAGCCAGAGTGAGAGAGCGCAAAGTCACGAAAGAAGCAGGAATTAACAGAAAGTGAAAGAAAGAAACAAAATCAGAGAGAGACCAAAGAGAGAAAGAGTCAGAAAAACAGAAACAAACAGACCTAGATACACAGAATGAGAGAGAGAGACACCAAGAAAAAGATGAGTGAAGCATAAAATTACTGGGCAATACAAGGCTATTATTTTAAGATGTTCTGAAGTTAACAAGATGGTGCCATGCGGTCACTTACAAAGCCACAGCCGTCCTCATCCAGGAAAGGGTGGGCCTGCAGCAGGGCATTCACTACGTCATTGTACTGCTGGGTGCTGGGGTACCTGTTCACCAAACAAGGAGGATATGTTTCACTTCAAGTAGCCCACGTTCCTTGCTTTAAGATGAGTCTAAATTACACTCACTTTTCTTCATGTTTTTCTCTTTAACAAAAGAGATTTAAATATTGGGCAATGTGGAACCTGTTACCACAATCTGAAGAGAATTGATTCCACATGAATTCTACTCTTTTCTGAAACAGACCCTTTTCCCAAAGCAGCAAGCCCGTCCTGTTACCACTCACAGTGAGCCTTCCAGGTACTTGGTCATGTCAGCCTGGAGAAACTCAATGATCCTTATCCTCATGCTGTGATCTGGGCACTTCTGCTCTGCTAACATGCATTTGACATCATAGGGAAACTCTGGTAAAACATAGGACTTCGTCCATTGTAATGCTTTACTTCTTGCTAGAAGGTGTTTCACATTTCTTCTGTGAAATAAAAACACACAAAGAATGAAATTCTATTCCAAATACATGCAATTTATTAATTTGCTACATACTGAGAACTTCTGATATAAACAACTTTCTTGAGACCCAAATATATGAAAGTCATCATGTGATCTTCCATCCATTCATCCATCCACAGATGTTTGAAGGTTCATTAAGTGTCTCTGTCCATTCACACAACACATAAATAGTTATTTTTTAGAAAAAGTCACAATAACATAGACTTTAGAATAAACCCTGAAGTTGAAATGCATACTAATTCATTTTTCTTAAAGAGAAAATGTAATGCATAGCTCAAAACTGGACAAGATCCTTAACAAAAAGGAAATACATAGCAATTTGGCAAAGCAAATGAAGCATACCATAAAGTCTTGGCAACTATTAAGAAAATCCTTCTAATTAATTTATTCTGCTGCTGTTTATAATGAAATACAAGATCCATCTAATTTAGTTAGTCTTTGCCTATTCTGATAAGGTGAACTTAGTTTCTAAATTAAATATAAGTATCAGATATTCAAATTCCATCCAGATGAAATTTCTACAAAGGGCTACAGAAAACTATAACTACAGGAGGCAGATCAGGAGTTGCCTGGGCTGAAGGTGGACAAAATGGATAGTGATTATTGTTGCACAAACATATAAAGCTGCTAAAATTAATTGAGCTATTCACTTTATTTTATTTTTATATTTTTCTATTTATTTATTGAGACAGAGTCTCGCTCTGTCACCAGGCTGGAGTGCAGTGGTGTGATCTCAGCTCACTGCAACCTCTGCCTCCCGCGTTCAAGCGATTCCCCTGCCTCAACCTCTCGAGTACCTGGGACTACAGGCATGTGCCACCATGCCCAGCTATTTTCATTTGTTTTATTTTTTTTTGTGGAGATAGGGTCTCACTATGTTGCCCAGTTTCATCTTGAACTCGTGAGCTCAAGCGATCCTCTTGCCATGGCTTCCCAAAATGTCATGATTAGAAGCATGAGCCAACACAGCCAGCCTCTTGTTCACTTTAAATAAGTGAATTTTATGCTTGTAAATGAAACATCAATAAGGCTGTTTATAAAATTATCAGAACAACATTCAGAGCTTAAAGTTAATGACTGACCACTGAGTGTGTAAAATGAAGACTCTATAGTATCAATAAAATGTCCAAGCAACAATTAATCAAAGGCACTAGGTAGCTCTTACCCCATTTACAAATAAGGTTGATTGGGGTAGAAGTAAAAAAACAGAGGCAAGCCAGTAGAAGACAACAGGAAGATTTCCTAAATTAGCCTAAGTAGGTTAATTCTCTGATAACCCTGGAACTCTTAGTGGCCCAAGCAAAATTCAGATGAATTTTGAAAGGCCAGGCTTCTTTCAGCATTTTAGTTCATCCTTTATAAGAATACACGAACTATAATGGGATATGGAGAATCAAGCACGTAGGGGAAAGCACTCTCACATCTCTTTTTATGATAAGCTCCCTTTCCTTTTTCCCCCTATTATATCAGTGGTGAAATTATGTCCTGGTTAAAATAAGCACACCAATAATTTAATACTTAATACCGCAACAGGAAATTTCCAGATGTAAGTCTCTGCTGTAGCCCAATCTATTTTCCAGTATATTTCTCTTTCATTTTGTTCATACATTCAACCACTATTCACTGGGGGTCTACTGAATGCCAATTACTCTTTCACAATCCTCACTCTCTCCAATATGCTATTACTTTGTTTCTTTCTCCCATGGCCAAATTATCTCTCCTGTATCTACTGAGACCAAGGAGTATAAAGTAATGGGCAGTTTTGCCGGCTGTCTTTTGTGCCTTCCTAGGATTTTTCAAAAGTGATGTAACTTGGCAGGTGTTAGGCTGGTTTCAGTAATCTTAGCATCAATCTCCTTTCCTCCAGTGATTTTCAAGTAGCTAAATTAGCTGCCTGCCGGGTCCAGGTTTTTGAAGTGATTATGTTACTTAGTACCACCTCAACAGATAAGTTCAAATTCCAGTGTTACAAAATAAAGCTCGTTACACTGTCTTTTTATTCCACATACTTTCCCCTGTATATGTTTCCAGTGTCAGGGCGAATAATATAACGTATGATATCATTTCTATCAAATATCCAGAACGTAGCTAGACACATACAAGATCCAAGAAGACAGATACTCCGTCTTGCTCTAAATAGGGGTATTAGGCAAGATGAGAAGCATCAACTTTTCATTTTCTTTACATTAAAACAATTTAAGAAGATATTCTGGAATTGAATAGAAACCAACCCATGCCACCTAACACCAATCAAAATGAGTATTATACAAGAAAAGTGACTCATCAGAAATTGAAAATACATTCTAATGTAGAAGCAGATAAGTGCAAGCATAATCATTTCTCATCTGTAAAATTATATTTGCACTGGATTTAAAAAAGCCTATGTAGAGGCTAAGATTATTTATAATATTTTTATTAAGCTAGAGTTGAGCAGAACACCAAAATAAGTCAGCCAAAAGTAAGGGTAGGGAGCAGACACCAGTCCAACCCAAAGGATGGTTATACTACTGTTCCCACCTCAGAGCCAGGCTCTTTGACAAAATCAGCACCACAAGACAACAGATCTCTAATCCAAGGCATCTCAATCCAGGGTGCACAGTAAAATCAACTGGGAAGCTTTTAAAACATGTTAATACCTACAATTGGTCCCTGCCTAACCGAATCAGAGTTTACTGCTTACTAAACTCTCAGCTGAAATGTAGAACTTATATTTGTAATAAAAAAAAAAAAACTTAAAGACAACACATTTGATAATTGGCCATATCATTATTGTATTAGGGGCTTAATTTAAAAAATGATTAGATGGGGTTTTCATGAAAAAGCTCATTGACTCTCCAACATTTTCTAACTTTAGCAAGAGTGAAAAAAACATCCAATTGTTCCCCTGCTCCCAAAGAGCAGATGGTAACTCTGATGAGGGTCACATAGGGTAGGAAAGATGGCTCTGTTAAGAACAAGCTCAGGTGAGCACCAGTACTCTAAGGAAAAATCTGAATGCACACAAGAACAGAAGTTGGTAGGGAGCAGAAGAAACACAGATGTTGCATGAGGGTGGGACTGTTGGTTTAATCTCCAGTGTATATAACATTGCTTAGCAGAGTTGATAGCACAATGACTTTTTTGTCAAAAGAATAAACCAGGCATCTGAAAGAAGTAGCTATCTAAGCAGGGCTGAATTCAATTTGGTCTGGGCAAAGATGTGGACACTTCAGTGGTCCATGATTGCATTCGTTACCCTGTAGATTTGCCTCCCCATTTATGCTCCAGGCATGTCTTTCAAATTACCTTCATCCTGCTTTTCCTTAACCTCTCTTACCTGAATCTCTTCCCAGCCACCTCATGGAGACTGCTTCCTCAAAAGTCAGTAATGATTTCCTAATTGACAAATTAAGGGCCTTTACCACAGCCTTTTTCAAGACCTCTGTAATTGCATTTAGTGCTATTGGCCACTTCCTCACACTCCTCTTTTCTCCCTTATCTTCCTTGACACTGCTTCATTTTTCTGCCTCCCTTCCTATCTCTCCGACAGCTTATTTGCTGATTTGTACCTCCTTTACTTTCCATGAGAATTTGCACACAGCTTGGCTCCTGCCCTTTAATCCTCTGTATTGATCTCTACTTTCTTCCTCGAAGAACTCACACAGCCCCATGGCCTAATCTCTGAGCTCCCTGTTGATGGATGGTAAATCTATCATCAATAATCTCTTCTCCATGCTCCATCTTAGATCTCCAACAACAACTTGTTCATTGTTTATCTCATACTCAAATCCAAAATAATTCATAATCTTTAAAAAAAACAAAAAACAGGCCAGGCACAGTGGCTCACACCTGTAATCCCAGCATTTTGGGAGGCCAAGGTGTGTGGATCACGAGGTCAGGAGTTCAAGACCAGCCTGGCCAAGTTGGTGAAACCCTGTCTCTATTAAAAATACAAAAGAATTTGCTGGGTGTAGTGGTATGTGCCTAGCTACTCAGGAAGCTGAGGCAGAGAATTTCTTGAAGCCGGGAGGCAGAGGTTGCAGTGAGCTGAGATTGTGCCACTGTAATCCAGCCTGGGTGACAGAGTGAGACTCTGTCTCAAAAAGCAAAAAAAAAAAAGAGAAAACAAAACAAAACAAAAACCTAGGTTCTCATTTTCTAGGAACTGAATTGTTTTCCTTTCAAATTCTATGTGTTGAAACCCTATGTATTTGGGCTTCGACGTGACTGGATTTGGAGATAGACCTTTATGGAAGTAATTTAGTTAAATGAAGTCATAAGGGTGGGCCCTGAGATGACAGGATTAGTATTCTTAAAAGACCTGTATGCCATGTGAGGTCAGAGAGAAAATGTAGCCATCTGCAAGTGAAAAAGAGGGTCCTCACCAGAAACGGAAGAGGTCAGTGCCCTGATCTCAAGCTTACAGCCTCCAGAACCACCAAAAAATAAATTTCTATGTTTAGGCCACCAAATCTATGGTATTTGTTATGGCAGCCCAGGTGGACTGACGCAGCATTCCAATTTCCTTATTTCTTTTGCTGTACCTGTTTCCTTAGCAACTCAGGCTTAACATCGTGACATCTCTTTTACCTTTATTTTTCACTCCTAAGTGTCATGAAATTTTCCCCACATTTTATTTTTGCTTATTTCCATGGTTCCTACTACTCCACTAATCCAAGTATTCATCATTCACATGTGGACTGTTTCAACAGTCTCCTAGCAGAGTTCTGCTGGAATGGCCTAATGCGCTCCCACTGGATCAGCTATCTCAGAAACATTAACCATAAACATTAAACACATTTAAAAAAAATTAACTGAAAACACTGAAAGGCGAAAAACAGAATGCAGGTTTTGAAAAGAAGCCTACACTTAGAAGAAGAGGAAGACACTGGGCCTTCAATGAGGTTCCCTTTCCATGGCTTTTAGCCTGAACGCAGGCCTCACGCTGTGCTGCCAAAACTCTAATAGAAAAACCTGTAG